TGGCACTATTTACCCTTTACTGCCCCAACCATTCGAAACCAGGCCAGTTCTAGACCGACTTTTTTCTCCGCGGACAGGCTTGGCTCAAATGCTGTCCCTGCTCAGGAGGTCAAGACTACACCAGGGAACAAATTTTTAGCCAATTCTGCCCACGGAGAAAAAAGTCGGTCAAAAACTGGCCTGATTTCGGATGATTGGGGCAGTAAAGGGTAAATAGTGCCAAAGTTTCTTTGCCCTTGTGCTGAAGAAGCAAAACGCGACAGGTAGCATTATTTCTAACAGCATTTTAGGGAAATTCCCAGCTTCCTCTTTTTGCAGCCTCGACGCGTCAATAGACGAGGTTCTGGAGATGGTTCAATAGTTTCGTATAAAGGACCCTGAGCTAAGGGGAGACATAAAGACAGAGAAGATGAGACATAAAATGTTCACCGTATAAAAGTGGACTGATTTCCAAGCACCACTAGCCTGTGTCATGTGCTTCGCCTCAATCATACCTGATGGGTAGGGGGGTCTCCACGGCACAGGATAGCGCCCAAGAAAACTAAAAGGATCTGGGGGATGACAACCAAGCGGTGGTCGGACTGTTCCCGAAATATTTTGAGAAATGTGGCCTGCCCACTGGATGCTATTAGCCACAAATCGTGCGTCATGAAAGATCTGTGGTCCACACTGAAAATTCCACAAGCTGGATCATATTCAGAGTGGGAACGTGAAGTGGGCTGCTACACCATCGTCTCCTTTCAGATGCTGACGGTGGGAATGGGGAAAGAGACCCCCCCTACCTAGCGAGGATGACCCTAATCCACGTATCAGATTGATTAGGGTGATCCTCGCCAGGTAAACGCATCTTTTCTCACCGTCAACGAACCAGGTAAAGAAGGGGGGAGGGCATAGAAAGCGACCGTCTCCTTGAGAAGAAGAGGAGTGGGATCATCGTCAGAGAAGATTCTAGGTCAACTACAGCTTCTCACCTTGTACACTTCCATAAAGAAGAGGTCTCAAGTGGTCTTGCTTAAACTAGTAGACTCTCGTAGCTTATCGTGGAGATAGCCGTAGTCGTATTTTGTATACTATACTGTATACGATTAATTTATAAAAAAATTGGGATAATACTAAGGGCGGAGCCGGCGTTTAAGCGATATTACAAACACAGTTGTGTGGAAACCTGAAAGAGCTCAAAAGTCGAATAAAATCACCTTTCCAATAGACGATATGAATGGTCCTTCACATAGTTGTTGTGATAGTATGGTGATGTGAGGGCGGCGGTGGATCACGACTGGCGAGTGGCCAAAGTGCGGGAAGAGATCGAAAAACGATGGCGCGGCCTGGGTGGTCAGTACTGACCACCGTAGGTCGCGCGGGAGAGTTGCTATAAAAGGCCCTCGGGGCATAGTCGAACCAGTTCATCTACAAACTCCATCTGCCTACCCGCCCTTCTTCTACGCCACGCCGTTCTACACCGCCTAGCGTGTTATTTCTTTCTGTATTCGTGGTCTTGATTGCCAATAACTTCCTTATTATCCTCGCCTGCCTAAACTGAATGCAATGATTCACTAGGATAATGAAGAGACAGAACTTAGCCGACAAGGTGGCTTGAGCAATTATTCTCCTACTATACGTTTGAACGCTTGTTTGCACGCCTTTTTTGGTCTACAGTCATTCCGATTTCTGCGTTTTTCGGTTCTTGGTTGTGCCCGGAGATTTGTCTACCGTTGACTACTTGAATGGCAATTCTAAAACTCCGGCGCGCAAAAGCATCTGGCCAGACCGCAGGCCACTCAGCAGAAGCCTGGCCTCCTGGTAGCGCTGTTAATGGCGAGGGTGCCCAGGTCTTTTTAGGCGTCACAGGCAGAATACTGTGTTTGTGCTTAACAGGTGCTTATATTGGTCCGGGTGGTGGAAAGGACGTCCTCAGCTAAAGCTAACAGTAACAAAGTTATCTATTATTCAGCGTAATGGACAACGTAACCGCCCGGTAAGCGGGAGATGCGGGTTCAAGTCCAGTCCTGGGTCCGACTTTCGATCATACCGAAGCATTATTGCGGTAGTTGCTAGTGCTTTTACTATTGAAATCGAAAGCTCACTTTTGTGATCGTCCGTAGATCCTCCTAATCGAATGAGATGTAGTGCACGCTGGCGGAAGTCACGATTTAGTATCAAATAGACGAATAGATGAATACCGGAATTGATTGTTTGCATCCAGACGGCAGGCTTTGAGATCACATCGCTTACCTTAAATAGAACTTCAACAATAAGGAACTTCCCAACGCAGTGCCGCGACGGGGGAGAGGGGGGGGGAGCATCTTGCACTTTCGCTGCTTCACGACTCAAGAAAAGGCTCTAATGAGTCGACACTTTGATGGGATGCAGCGGAAGTGCAAAATGTTCCCCGTCCTTGAAGTGCCCCAAGCTCCCTAAGTTCCCTCTGAACCATCAACATTCATCCCTGACAAGTGGTGGATGCTCGGTTCGTTAAGAATTCTCCGAAATGTGCGAAAGCAATGTAATGACGCTTCAGCGCACTTACCGATTTCACATACACTTGGAAAAGTGCTATGGTGTTCGGTAATGAGACCAATACGGTAGAGAGCACTGAGATCAGAAGATAATATCTGATGATGTGAGCTTGACGTTTCGCTTGTTGTCTGAAGTGAGAATGTGTGAGAACTTTAAACAGACAAAAACCTAATATTGAGTTTTTAGCTGGCCGTTGTTTCCCGACGAAATGGCGCTTTAGGAAGAAGTGACGCAATCCGTGTAGGAACTTGGACAAGGTGAGTCTATTTATGCCGGATAAAGAGGAGTAAGAAATAAGGCAGTGATTTATTATAAACATTCAAAAGGTGAGAAGAGTTTGTCACAGTGCTTACATAGCCGACCTACAGAGATCTGTTTTGAAGCTTTGAGTGTTCTAAAACATATAAAAGGCATCGTAAGTCGTCAGGCTCAGCCTGCTCGGTAGAGTTTACATCCTTGGAAAGGTTAGTGGTGTTGCGATCTGTGAATCGTACGAAGCCGCTGCGATTCTCAACATAGATGAGATAAATTCGTTAGTATTGCTATGCCTCTCGAGGTTTTTAGGTGGAATCTTTATTCAACGGCCTAACGTTTCGACAGGGTCGTCTTCTTCAGAGGCCTAAACGTGTTTCGAGTTAAGGAGATGAACACTACCCCGTCAAGCGCCCAACCAACCCTAGCAGTTCCGATGACGTGTTCGGAACGTTAGGCCTTTGAATAAAGATTCCACCCAAAAACCTCGAGAGGCATAGCAATACTAACGAATTTAACAACGATGCCGAGGTTTAGCGCAATAGAGAAGC